AAGTCTTAAAGTTGTTTAACCAATAGTCACTTAGATGACTAAACAAGCTTTGCCAATAACAACCTCTCTGCATTGACCTTAAAGTTTTCTAAAAAATAGATAATCACTCTTATTCCTCATTTAGAACAACAACAGGTCACATATTTTAGATATGTATATTGTAATTAAAGACAAAAGCACCAGTAGCAGGAGGTTGAAATTAGTTAAATATGAACTTGTCATGTAATAATAACTTTAGCATAGCAGCCACAACCCCAAAATCAGCACAAGCAAAAGTTTGTCTCACAAAATATATTGTGCTAATGATTTTGGCTCACAAAATATGTTATTGTTGTCCATTGTTATAATCTTTTTTCTAGTATATATAGCAATTTGGCTGCTTGCTTGATAGAACATTGATCATATGCAAACCAATAGGACAGTTCAGTTGGCCATAATCACATTAGCAAATGGATCTCTCTTTTTTGTAGGTATGCCACTAATAATATATATATTCAAGAATTCACCAAATTTCAAAATAAGGATTATTGAACTGGGAGCTGGGTTCATATCTTCATTTTTGGCTTGTTTTTTCAGGTGAATGGGTTGCAACAGCACAATTGGATTGAGAAAATATTAACAAAATTACCTACTCAAATAAAAGCATTTGTTTCATAAAGGATCACACAAAACAAATAGCACCAGCAAACTTAAAATAAATGAAGCAGAAACTGAAGAAAAACTACTAAAAAAAAAAGGGAACGCTGAAATTTCGCTTTTGAAAATATAGTCACATAAATGAAGAAAAGCTGCTCATAGATTCAAGAAAGACAACAAGCTGACCTTCAAGTTAAAGGATTCCTTAACTAATGATATGAACCACAGCAGAAAGAACCTATCAATTGAACAATATGTATATATTAGAATTTATTAATCCGTCTATTACTCATACGGGAAAAATTTGACAAAAAAAAGGGAAAGACTTTTTCTCACCAAAGAGACTCCAAAGAAGGTGTAAATATCAAGATGCTTCTTCTTGCAGTTCATAAGACAGAGGAGCCAGAACCATGCACTGATAAATACCTCTATTCCATTTTTTGATTTCGTAATTCACTGGAAAATTTACAGGCTAAATGAATACGAAACCTATTTCTTATCATAACTGGAACAAGGGAAAAATCAAATCTGAAAAGATATTTCTCATCATAATCGTATGGCTGAATGGGAAAACTAATGAGAATAGAATGCCATACCTAATCTAACAAAAAGTTCCCAATTTCCCTCATTTGAAGTACAATTATCATGTGACTGCCCCACAATTCTTGCAACATGAAATCAATAGAAAGAGAAATGGGTTAACATGAAATCAATTCTTGCAACATGAAATGGGTTAATTTGATATTAGAGAAAGAGGAAACCACGGCAAGTGTAGGCAAGGCAGTTCACCTACTCCTAATTTTCCTCCTTTGAAGTACAAACACCATGTGAGTGAGCAGCAATTTCTGCAACATGAAATCAAGTGTTTGGAGTGGCAGTTGACCTACTGGCTTCAATGGCAATTTCTGAAAGAAGGAACTCACAAAACCCATCTCCCAAATCACGTAAAAATCCCAACTTTTTGACTAGAATAGACGTTTCAGATTGGGTTTGGTAGAATAGCCGTTTGGAATTGAATTTGCTCAGAATAGGTGCGCCGAATTTGTGGTTAGAATAGCTGTCTGGTAGAGAGAAAGGAAGAAAAGGCTTCACCGGCAATTTGAGAAAGAAAGAGTTCAATGCCAAAGGAAAGAATAGGTTTCATACAATTTGGAAGGAATATTTGACTTTTTCACATGGCTAAAGAAAAGGAAAGCACTACTGAGAAAGAAACAGTTCAATGCCAAAAGAAAGAGAAGGCTTCGGTCAATTTGAAAAAAATATTAAGAGAAGGCTTCAACAATTTGCAAGAAATATTTGACCTTGCCACTTGTCAAATAATTAAGAAGTCACTTGGCAAAAGTAAAGGAAAGCACTAAACCTTCCTCCTTTCTTATATACAAGGTAGATATATATAGAAATTGTCCTCCATTAAGCCAAAAGCATAACTCAATAGTTCTACTTAACGTGACACTGCCACTGATCCTCATCACCAAGCTTTCCAGTATATTTACTAACAAATTATGTTAATGGTCCACCAACTGATTTACTAGAATATGTTTTTTGTCGTCCAATTTTAATTTGTGATAATTTAATCCACAAACTTATATATTTGTGTCAATTTAGTCCCTTCATGGCTGAGCAACCTAGTCAAATAAACAGTTTTAACGGGAAAATTTGCCAATTTACATGCTTGATCATGAACCCAAAACTGAAAAAAAACTCATGATCTTGAGATAGTCCATATATAAGGGCTACTTATCTTTTCCAAATATGTTCTTAAAACTTTCCAAGAATTCCATGTGCCATAACTTATTTTATAAATAAATTGCATACGTCAAAATGGGCTACAAGTACTGTTTTTGAGCAACCTGTTATTCACCCCAAATGTGTGTGTGTATGTGTGTTTTTTTTTTCTCTCACTATTTAGGCCTTAGAATACATTATGGCCATGTCGAGGCAGATAAGACCTTAGGCTGGTTGAGCTTGATGGTGGCGTTGTCAATTTTGGTTCTACTTGTTCTGGGAATGCCACCCAGAACAAAAAAAGCAAACGGGCACACAATTATAGAAGTTTACACTGGCTAGTGGAAATGCCGTGAATGGGAATGGCTGAGCAAATGGGATTTGGCGATGGAAATGGCCATTGTAACTAAAATTGTTCAAACTAGGTTAACACCAACTAGAGAAGGTTGATTTTGCATCTTGAATGAAAGATGAGGCGATCAATATCAACAATGTTTTGGACAGTTTCAATCCATATTCTATATTCATATCATGCACGTACAATATTTTATAACAAGTATTTGAAAATTGAAACTGTAAATCTAAGCACAAAACAACATCAATCAGTGACAAGTATTAGAAGCTTTTACTAGAGGATGTAATCTGAGGTATAAGCACTATCTAAGCAGTGTTGCAATGTGAAATTTGTAAGATAAGCTCAATTTGTATCAGGTTTAGTGGGAGTTTACAAAACGAGGTAAGCAAAAGCTTCTACAATCATCCTCAAGAAGTTTTGAAATGGCCACAGGCCTACAAGGAAGGACAAAAAAATGTTCTTCAGCTGAGACTCCCATCCTTGCCAAAAGGTCTGCACATGTATTAGCTTCTTGAAAGACATGTCTAAGGGTAGCTGATTGGAAGCTCCGCAAGATGATCCTGCAATCATTAAGAATGGGAGAGTAAACATGAGATTGAAGATTGTTATGTAAAAGCATATCTATAATCACCATGGTTCAAAGTCGCGGTCGCGGTCGCGATCGTGGTCCGGACCGTTTTACATCGGTCTTGACATGTCGGTCGCGGTCTCAGAGAGATGCAAATTTTGAAACATTTAATATTCTAAAAATTGTAAATAATATAAAAAAATATGATAAATAAAAATAATAACAAATTAGTAAAAATAATAAAAATTCGAGTTCACTCGAGGCGATTCAACCGAATCTATTTATTTCGGAGATGTCTCGGCCGAGTTCTCGGCAATCTATTATCTTGGAGTCATCTCGTTTCGATATCATATTGGAAAGTTTCGTTCCGATCGAGTCATCTCGGACTCAGCGGAGTCTTTGAACCATGATAATCACTCGAGCATCCAACTCAATGAGAGGATGGTTGATGTTTTTAAGGATTTAGTAAGGTTCAAGCCATGGCGTAGAGCCCAAAGTTATGCCACTATATATGTTGCCCATCCCAACTTTCTGATGAAGCTTCCTATCTATTCGCCCAAATGGTTTCAAATAATACCTCCAGCTCCAGCAGGTCCTGGGTTCCCTAAGTGTTCAGCCTGAGGTAAACTGTATTTGTATGCTATTTGTTACCAAGGCTTTTCCATAAAACACTACTTGGATGTAGACCTGTCAATTGGTTTGGGTTGGCCCAAACTCAACCAGATCAGCCCTAAATATGGTTGGTTGAACCAAATGCAATAGTGACTTGAGTTGAACATAGGTCAAAACATTTTGTCCGATTTAAATGTAAGTTGACTTTGGGTTGCACTGAGCACAGACCACTTAACACTTGATCCAAACAATATATAAATTAGGGCTCATATGTGGGAATTAAGAAGATTTGTCCATCTAAATCCAATCAAATAATTGAAAACTAGATGGCTAATTTTATAATAAATTATTATTTTTTCAATCTCTAGTTGATAGAATTAAGGATGCTATGATAATTTTTTTTTTGTCGTGAAATTCAAACTTCTTTTGGATTTATAGAATCTTTATGGATTAGCTCATTGGCTGGTTGTTTAGCTTCACTAGATTTTGTGAACGTGAAAAATACATGACATGAGTTTGAACCTATTCGAATTAGGTCCAATACCATTTTTTTTTGTGTAAGCCAAGCATGAGCAGCAAAAAATCTGAGCTTCACTGAATTGAATTTGACTCAAAAGAATGATATTTTATATGAGCTAAATTTGAGCATGTCAGCTCACATAGCTCAATTGACAAACCTACTTGGATGGATACATACGAAAAAGATTTTAAGAGACTGCCGATACATTTCCTCATCCATAGATATCATACTCTGATCTCTACTTTTTGGCCTTACATATTTATTCTAGTTTTGTCACATCACTGCTATGGCAGACTTGGTACTGACTTCTTCCTTGCAAACACTATTTGTGTACTGCAAGAGTAATCACTAATAGATGTCCAAGTAAATATTATTGGTTTCATATTTTGCAATAGGATTCTGTATGTAATCAACTACAAAGAATCTCGAGCTAGAAAGCAAGAATTGTTCAGATATCACATTTAGAGTTTGGTGCTCTCTACCATTTTGAAATGGTTTGATAAAGCAGCTTTTTGATCTAATGCTTGCTATGTAGTTTTAAGATGGATAAACCCAAGAAAGCCAAGAAATAGAAAATAATGACGTTTAACTTGAACATCGATATGTACATTGAATATCACTTCAAAACCACGTTCTTCTGTTATCCTCTTTCTGGTGCTCAGGGGCAAAAAAGTTTTACACCACAAAGATCTAAATAGCTTGTATCTGTCAAAATTGTACCATCTCAGCAGTGCTATTGAACTCGGAAATAAGAACCAAAATCAACAACAGATTCAAACTACCCATGCATCCTCTCTTCAAATAAACTTACACTCTTCCTGCCATTTCTGCTTGCATGAGAAGATCACTGAATTGAAGGTCCAGCACCGGATCTGAAATCCTTGCTCCAATTGAAAAGACCATGCCAGGCTTCAAGTTTGGAACATCTAATCATGACCATTTAAAGCCAGAGCTGCAACTCTCTTCAGTGATTCACCTGCTTTCATTAAGTCATCTTCCGTATGAGCAGCAGAGACAAACAATCTTATGCCCACAGGCAATTTGCATTTGTCAAGAGTTGATCTTCTTGAAGTAGCGACCAAAACAGAGTCTTCCTTAAGTACCTGCACGCACTAGATTTATTACAACTTTGATTTTCAAGATAAAGGACAGATCAGGGGAGTGGTTTCCAAGTTACAGGATTAAACTAAATCAGGTAGACCAATTAGGAAAGTCATAATATTTACTGGATGAGGCAAAGAACAAAAACTTACATGTTGAGCTATATCTTCAAGCACCTGAAGGTCACCTTTCAAGGAACCCGTTGACTTCTTTAATCGGAGAAAAACAATCGGAGATGCCAGATCACTTGCTATCTCAAGCCCTTGAATATCGGATAGCCCTGCAAGCAATGTATGAAATGAAGAGCATATTTTTCATAGTTGTGGGATGCAAGGTAAATAACAAGAATTGAAAAACTGAACGAACCTCTACATAGTGTGCCAATATTTTTCTTCAGTTTCATGATAAGATCAAGATTTTCTTCCAGGATATCAATTGCAGTAATTGCAGCACTTGTTAGGTAAGGGGGCAAAGAAGCAGAAAAGACATAACCAGAACTGCTAAGCCGCTACCCAAAATATGCATTGGGTAAGCATTAGTGCAAAGACCTTAACATCTCAAGGGAAACTGTTACTGAATGTAGAGTATTAGTAATTTTATGTGTTGCACTATACCCTCTTCAATGCAAGAATTGTAATTTACAACATTAAACAGATAAAGTATACATACTTGGTGGTCAATGACTCTTGCACTCCCAGTGCATACTCCTCCCTCTGTTGCCAATGCGTGCCCCATAGCCGCCGTTATGATATCAATCTTGCCAACCTACAAGCGGACACAAATATAAAACCACAAACAGGGACCTTTTAACTAATTTAACGTGGAATAAATACAAAGTCATTACCGGAACTTTGCAGTACTCAGTTAAACCTCTACCAGAACTGCCAAGCACACCCATTGAATTGCTCTCATCCAGTAAAACGCGGAAGCGATAATTTTCCTTGAGTCTAATGATTTCATCTAAGGGAGCAATTTGGCCAGAATTCTGTAATTAAGCTAAGCCATTCAGAATAACACATCATTCGTCAAATAGAAGCCAGTCAGGAAAAAAATCAGCAGTTAGCATGTAAGACATGAAAAACACAAAGAAAAGAAAAGAAAAGAGCAATATCAGCCAGTGGGCTTCTACCCAGACCATTTTCCTAACATCACACAGGACATCCATTAGTGCTACTGATATGCGCCATGCTACCCACTAGATTTCATGATGGACTGTCATGCCATATCATGTGTAGTAAGTATTACTTGCTCGCTAAAATTTTCCTGCCATGTATCTAACGTACACCTGTGCATTAATGCTTTTACCAGACATGTCAACATGACCCCATCACGTTGTCCTCTCCTGTGAATAACACACACGCACACACTCTGTGACGACCCCACCTCCCCCTAAGGCGTACCAGAGGATTCGGCGGACCGCCTGCCCAACTCTCGTCAGGACTCACTCACTCGAATCACATGCACACAACCAAGAACCATAGATAACATTCACAATTCAAGCTTATAATTTACATTGATAGAAAACTAGGTACAAAGTCTCGATAAACTTAAACTAGTTCAAAACGTATACAGTCCAAGTACAAAATGTTCCATTCGAGGAATAGCGCGAGTACAAAATCAAAATTCAAAACAAAGTCTAAAGTAACTAGACTACGCTAGCCTTTACACTTCTCACGCTTCGCTCGTACCCCTGTAAGGAAAACAAAACTAATAGGGTGAGTCGAAACTCAATGAAGTTTCAAATATCAAATTGGCCAATAAAGCAAATAATAACATAGTAATAGTGAATTAGCGAGCAAACAAGTCAAATCAGGGACAATAGTACTTCAATTAGCCAAGAAATATCAGATTTGCATTCATATATAAGGATACGGTAATCATATCTCGGCTCCATTCCACCTTGATCAATTAGTAGTTGACTCTCCGTCAACTTTCACGTAATAACAAGTTCAAAATAAACTTCACTACACGCCAATTTCCGTCCACCGATCAACCCCCTTTTTCGGGCCCGCACGTCACACAAAACACGGGTGGTAATACTCGAGTATACCGTTTAGTCGAGGAGATAGCACTCCACTCGACATTACAAGTGACCCAGGGTTTGTTATCTAATCGACCAGGCCCTTGTCGGCTCGACTCGATTAACTAGCCACAGGATTTCTAGAATTCCAGGCAAAACATATTTCAAGTACATATACAACAAGTCAAGTACGATCAATAGCAAGAACAAGTCATACTAGGGCAAGTGCGGTAAAGTACACCCTTGCCTTATCATTTATTTTCATGTAATCAAACAAGTCAAGTAAGGAACACATGTATCAAGTACAATCGGATATTTGGAAGCACTCACCACAATAGTGCTTCTAGTTCTCGCGTCGAGGTGGTACTCCGGATTTGGAGTCCAAATCTGCGATAAAATTTCAGTTTGAGAACTTTGAAACACGAGTAGGATTCGAAATTTAAACGTTCCGTTCATTAAGAATCGACCAATTGAAATTCATTTGAAAGACACTCGTGAAACACTTGCTCGCTTTTCAAATCGTAAGGTTTTGTAACATAGATGCTTGGAAATAACACTTGAGTTGAAAGTACAAGGAAATTCAAGTTTACATTGGCCATTATGTCTTTTCCTCAAGGGTACAAGTTCGGCCATGTCCTAACGTATAACTCTCGCTAAACAAAGTAGCAAAGGTCCTTGCCAGTTCAAGTGATAATCACTTAGCCTTTACTCAAGTCGCTAATATAGTTTTCTAGTTCTCGAGTAAAAATTCGGGCAGCATGCCCTTTGTGTTTACCTAATTTTCCAGCCATTTAGGCATCATTATTTTTCCTCAACCAAAACCCAACATCACATATAGCAGCAATTCATGTCAAGAGTCGTTTTATAGGCTCACAATATCATAATAACAAGAATCACAACAGTAACAAGTGCAGAAATTCAATTTAGCACAAGACAGATTCGACGTATGAATGCGGAAATAACATATCCGAGACTACGCTTATCGGATTGAGGCGCAACCTATGCCATTTCGAAGCTAAGACACAGGGCTACAATGTTCATGAAGGTCACTTAGTCCAGTTTCTAGTGCAACTTAGTCAAATTCTCAAATTACAAAACCAAAATCTAACTTGTCGGCTTTTCAACCGCGTTACACTGTAATGGACATATCTCAGAGTACAAAAGTCCAATTCAGGTGTTCTTAGAGGCATTTGAAAGCTAAGACAGAATGCTACAACTTTCATGTTTTGGCAAAATGCTAAATCAGTACGTATCCTAGTGAAAAAAATATGATAAACTGGACAAACTGATCACACGGACTGATGGGGAAATACTTAAAACAGTAAGGGTATTTTGGACTTTTCACGACCTACGTTGCTCCGATTGAGCTGAAATTTTGTAGACACCTATAAAATACCATTCTCTACAACTTTCATTCTTTGACCTAAGGCCAATTCGGCCTCTAACATAGGGTTACAAATTCGGACAGAATGTTGGGGAAAATTTTCCAGATTCTGGAATTTTTTGTAATCAATGGAACTTTCTCAATTTTCTTGTTCTAATCACTACCGAAGCCCCTTATAAAACCTCAATTGTAATATATATACTTCATACATCAAATTGGGCAGAAATTCCCCAAGTCCTAGTTCATCATATAAAAAGGGGAAAACTTCCAAATTCATCACACCCACTTGCATAATCATGAAATCAAGCCAAAACTTAAGCTAAATAAACATCTTAAAGCAAAATTTAAAGCAACAAAGATCATGATCAAATGTTTGTACCTCAAAAGCAAGGCTTGATAGAGTGATCCTTCACCTCCTTTTGATATTTCTTGGTTCCTCAAGCTTCTCAACTCACACTTAGTACTTTAATCGGTTTAGAATTGGATTTGTTACTTGGGTTGAAGCAAATCAAGAAGGAAATAGAGTGTTTTCCCTTAGTGTTTTTCTTCTCCTTCCTCTCGGCCAGCAGCAGCAAATGAAGAGGAAAATTGCTGAATTTTGGTGTTTAAATGGAAAGACTAAGTCTTGGTCAAGAACCACCTTTCTTTTTTTCTCTTTCTTTCCTTGCATTTTAAGCCTCATAATTCGGTCAAGGCTGCTGCAATTTAAGAAGATATTTGGCTCACAAGTCAATAAGCTTATTTGGTAAGAAAAATGGTGGTCAAGTGGTGCGTTCAATCGGTAGTGCGCGGGACCCGCCGGTTCGCGCCGTTTTTCTTAAAAACTCACGTACTAGTGTTTTTACTTCCCATTCACTAACCTTATATCATTGCCACTAATCACATATTATTTCTCACTTAAAAGTCACTTTTAATCCCCAAAATTAATCCTTACTCTGTACCGAAAATTCATCCGGCGAAAAATCGCGAAAACCCTAATTTTGCTCCAAACTTGAAACCGAAGCGTAAAACTCTATTTTCTAGGTTTATTTACACTTAGTATGAAATATTTGGGTAGTGGACTTTGATAAATAATAATTTTCAAATAAAAGGGTATTTTTGAGAAAAATACAAGAAATTTGCGAGTCCTCACATTTGAGGTGAGGTCGTCACAGGTGGTATCAGAGTCTAGGTTATGAATTGATCTAGGTAGATTGAGTGCTTGATACGATAGGCTAGGGTTTTATCCTTGAGCTTAGCCTTTAGCCTTGTTTTCTTCGTGTTGCTTACTTACTTTTGCAATGTTATTTGCAAACTTAGGTGATGGCAGATGCTGACGCTTCCGGGGGTGCGGGGCCATCCCAGCCCGTACCTACTGACATACCTTCAGACGCTCCTGCTGGCGAGCCCTATCTAGAGAGGCCCGTCTCTCGCGTGATTACATACCAGGACGTTCCCGGTGGGCCGGTACAGCGGTGGTCCCCAGCGCGTAAGATCCGACGCTGCGATTGCTGGAAGACCTACTCCAATCCTGACCGAGTGGTGCTCGCAGTGGATGACGAGCGGAGACGATTGGGTAGCACCAATCGTAGGTGCTATACTGAGATAGAGCATCTTCGAACTACACTACGAGACCAGGGAGTCCGGATCCGAGAGTTGGAGGCCTCGGTTCTGGAGAAGCAGCAGCGGACCGATACTTTCCGCGAGCAGGCTCAGGCAGCGACTGGACGTCTGATGCGAGTAGTTGGAGATACGAGATCGGACTGGCCACATTCTGACTGAGTGCGAGGCGTTAGTGGACGATGTGCTCCAGGACTTGGCCGGAGATGGCCAAGCGCCTGTAGCTCCTGCCGTTCCCGGTGCTCCTGAGGAGGATTCAGAGGAGGATCCTGAGGAGGACCCGGAGGAGGAGCTGAGTGCGTCCTCAGAGTCAGTTGGGTCGGCGTCTAGCCAGACCACTTGTTAGGATCAGGATTTGAGGAGTTTTTGTGGGATAGTTAGGAACATAGTGGGACGACACGTCTCCTTTTGTTTTTGACTTAGACGTGTCTTGATGGATGTAAATACCTTTTGTTCTATGTTCCTTGGCTGTGATAGCCTCTGACTATGTGACTTGTTGGCCTGTATATATGACTTGTTTGTTATGTAAATAAAGTGATTGTTTCTTACGTGTTTATTTGCCTCTAGTTATATTGTTGTAACGCGATATATGAGTCGTACCTTACCCTGTTTATATGTTTCTAGTTGGTTAACTCTCAACATGGAAGATAAGAGAAGTCGGACCAAGAAAGCTAACCGAAAACGCGGTTCTAGGCGAGGCCGTGAGGGTGAACAAGTACAGGAACCGGTGCCTGAACCGAGAGAGGAGAGGGAGGCAGCGGTTGAGCAGCAACCTGAACCCCAGACTGCCGGGGGAGATCAGGTGGCCACTGCCATCCAACAGATGACTAATATTTTAGCCCGGTTGATGGAACAACAGGGTCAAGGCCCTGTAAATCAACCTAGGGACCCCGATTTGGGGCAGGATAGAGCCTTGGAGAGATTTCAGAAGTTCTCCCCACCCAAATTCTTAGGAGGACCAGACCCGGATGGGGCTGAGAAA